GCCCGGAGGCCGGTGCCGAGGAATCCAGACGGCTACTGGGGAACCCAACTGGCATGGCCTCCGCTTACCGTCACGGTGCCCTGGGTCCAACGCCCAGTCACTAGCGCCCTGGTCCTCGGGAGGGTGCAGCTTCCCTCTGCCAGGTCGCACGCGGGTCTCCAGCCCCCCCCCCCCCGCCCCAGGCGGTGCGCAGGGGGCGGGGGCGAGGCCCGGCGCGCCCTGCACCTGTGGCTGTGAGCAGAGCTGGGGTACAGTAGGCTAAAGTTCTGTTTTCTTCCCAACATCTGTAAGAGACAGAGATTTTCTAATGTACCGGTCAAATATTTAGGGTATTATTTTGTAGATCTGGGCATTAAAGAAAGACAGCTAATAATTTTTAACGTGTGTGTGTGTGTGTGTGTGTGTGTGTGTGTGTGTATGTGTGAACACCTTCGGTTTAGGGTAGTCTGCTCCTTTATTATTCTCAGAAGCATCACCAGGATGCCAGAGACCTTACTACATAGACACTGAGTCCAAGAATTTTCCATTTCCTGATACAGAGGGGAGGAGTAATGCCCAAAAATGACGCATAAATCCCTCATGTTTTGACCATAAGGGTTCCCTGAGATTTGGCACCACTGGCTTTCATGTCAGTGCCAAAGGAAAACTTAATTTTGTCCTTAAAACGTACAGATTGTTGACGGTTGACCAGTTCTAAAACTGTAAAAAGGGATGTACTTTTATTTCTACTTCTACATGTCTGAAAATGTTCACATCTATCTCTTTTAATAGCATTGTTTATATTATATAGAGATTTTGTGACGTGTTATATGTGTTTTGGAAATAATAGGTCTAAGTTATACACATATACAGAGGCATACATCTGTAAAAATAACAAGTAAATTTCATTTTCTACTTGTTCTATCAAGACTTAAGATTTTGAAGGGTATTGTTGCTATTTGTGCTCTTTTCAAAATAAATGTTTAGTCACTATTATTTAAAATCTTCAATTAATTATATTATTTAGATATTACCTGTTATATCACACTTACCCATGGAAGAAAATAATGGACAAACATTGATAATAATGGTAATTGCAATGATACTGATAAATAGCATATTAAGCAATTATTACTTTGTGGTTACTCTTCTAAGTATTGTAAAAAGAATTAACTAATCACTACATTAACCCGGTGAGGTAGACATCATTATTTTCTGTATTTATAGATCAGGAAGTAGACACTAGGAGATTTGGCCCTGGCTCAAGAGTCTATTATTGAAGTACTGCTGGCTGATGTTTTGTCCTCCTGTTTGTGCAATATTATTACAATGTCCTCCTTCTCCTTAGGCCCCACAAACACCAGAAACACTTTTCCAACCAGTTTTTCATTTCTTTGTATCCTCTCCTAAAACTTGAGAAAAAAAATGGCTGTGCATCACATCAGTGATTCTGAACCAGGGGCAATTTTGTGCCCCAGGGGACAATGGCAGTGTCTGCAGACATTTTTGCTTGTGTCACCTTCATGCTTCTGATATATGATGATGACAGGCTAGCAGTGCTGCAAAGCCTCATCAAGTCACAGGACATTTCCTCCCAACAGAGACATAGCCATCCCCAAAGGTCAACAGTAAGGAACCCTGCAGTACAGCTAAAAAGATACCAAAACTATTTGCTGCTTAACTAATATTCAACAAAAAAGAGAGGCCTAGAGCTGGAATTTTTGTAAAACTTATACTGTTTTGTAGATTTAGACTTTTCAAAGACATAAATAGGGGTAATCCTGCAGGCTCTAGATTTATATATTCAGAGACAAGAAGATCTTCAACTATTGAAAACAAAAACTATTACATAAATAGCTGTTATTTGGTACATTTGTCATAAGATATAAAATATGTAATTGTTTATATTCCAAGTAAACTTGGAATCATTATTTATATAACTACCTTGGATCATCCCTGGTGGTACAAGGGGTTAAGTCTCAGCACCACAAAACTATTGGCCGCCACTACAGCATGAGTCCAATCCCCAGAGGTGACCCACATGACATAGCAGACCTCTCCTGTCCCCCCCACCACTGCTCCCCTCATCAGTGTATTTCAGTCGGTCCCTCTGTTCTTTTCCCCACTCTATCTCTGAAGAATCCCCTCACCCCCCTGCCCTCTGACCTGTACCCCAGCTCTTGAATGCATGAATAAACAAATCTTTTAAAATAGATAAATAAAACCTTTGTGCAAAATTGATGGAATGACTTGCCCGCCAACACTTTTAGCAAATGCTATCTTATCAGTCCTTAAAATCTATGAAAGACATGTGACAGTTATGCTCAACTTTATTGACAAATAAAGAACAGAATCTTGAGGAGAAATGAATTCAAATCCAAACAAACACTGACCCCAAAGAAGTTGTTTCTAACAATACTTTGTTTTGTTTGTGCTATTATTGTTCATCTGGTTTTTGTCTTTTATAGATCTACTATATTCCAGATTGTTCACCTGCATTGGAATTAGCCCATGCATGTTCAACTTCACAATTCTGGGCTTTGCCGCCGACCTACTGTGTCCTGGTCTCCAGGGAGTCTAGCGGTGCTCATCCTTAACAAGCTCCTGAGTGATGCTTATACAAGAAAAAGTTTGCATTTCAGACTTTGACCCGATCTGTACACATTGCTGGTGTGGGCTTCACAAGCCCTCCTAAAGGTCTAACAGACCAATCCTTCTCTTCCTAGGAAATTGTATTATCCTGTGGATCAGAGTGTCAGGACAGGAATCACATGGTTTGCAGGGAGGAGAGATGGGAACTCAGGGGCACACACCACTATCCTGACTCCCTCACTCTTGCAAATAGTTCGGTTTTAATACAACAGCTCTCCCAGCTCCATGTTTTAATTATTGTGTTTCTTTGAATATGGTATCAGAAGTTCCGCTGTGCTCTGGCTCCAGACTCCTGGTTGAACTCTTGAACAGATTTCTGTCTCTAGAGGCTAATTTGGAAGACTTTATTCAGTAAGAAAAGATTTTTGTACCAGCTGTTCTGAATTTGAGCATTGAGCAGCTAAACTGCTAAAATCAATGAAATAATTTGAATTTAATTGATTAATTAATCATCACAGTAATCTCATTACCTCTATGATTTTCTCTAAATCCATCCGACTTTTTGACCCCAAGCTTGGGTATGGTGGTTGCTGCTGTTGCTGTGTATGCCTGTGAGTGTGAGTGTGAGAGTGTGTGTGTGTGTGTGTGTGTGTGCGCGCACGCACAGCGCACACTCACAGGCCTGTCAATATGCGTGTCTATATGTTTGCAGTTGTAGCTGCTTTAACATTTCAGAAATTTCTCCAAATGTTCAGTATTTCACTGTCATTCTTTGATGTTTTCCAATATGACACAATTTTATTCTTCCAAAGAAAAATAAAAATGAAGTATACATTTTCTCTCACTTCGATGGGATCAGAACAGAAGGGAAGAGCACAGTTGCTGGTGATGGTTCCCAGGTGTCTTGGTGGGGGTAATTTTATGGGGACAACACTTGAGAGGAGAAATCAAACACTGTACAAAAATAAACCATGATATAAAAAATATATGTAAATAAAAGAATCTTATATATTTAGCAAAGATGATAGACCTCATTATTGTTTTCACTTTAATTTTTAATTTATTAATAAAGACAGTTATTTTGTGTCCTTTATAGGCCCATTTTTCACTTTTTTTTTTTTTTTAAAGATTTATTTATTTGTGCATACAGAACTGGGGTACAGGCCAGAGGCTCAGGGGCGGTGAGAGGCTTCACCAGAGACAGAGTGGGGAACAGAACAGGCAGATAGACGAAGTACACTGCTGAGGGGAGCAGCGGGCGGGTCAGGAGAGGTCTGCCACACCATGTGGTCACCTCCAGGGCAGGCGGGAATCGAACTCATGCAGAAGCGGCTTTAGATTCTCAGTGCTGTGCTTTAACCCGCTGTGCCACCAGGGAGGGCCCCATTTTTCACTTTTTAAACCACTTCTGTTCCTTTTGAGGGAAGAAATGAAATGACACAGAGCCTAAAGCCAAAAAGCAGGGGTTGACTTCTGGCAGCCATTTCCTGGTTTGGTAGCTCTGAACAAATAATTTGAGGACCTTCCTTTCTTACAATTTTCTCAACTTAAAAATGAAGAAAATAAGAGTACCCCCTTTAAAAGTTGGTTAGTAGAGTTAAATGAATCAGGCATAAAGCATTAAGAACAATGTCTTAGTTGTTACATTGAAATAGTGTTAGCTATTAGGATCTATTTTGCTTATTATTACTATCATTATCATTAATGATTTTAGTCTGTGACCCTAGTTTGTGAGTGAGCAAAAGACTGGTAAATTTGAATATTTCATATTATGCAGAAAAGTAACATTTATATTTATATTATTAAATCTGTTTCTGGTATAAATTCCAAAATAATTTTCCAACTTTACTTTTGTCCTAATTTGCACATTTAAATACTTTTAGTTTTTGATCAATGTAGGTGTTTTTAAAAACTCTTATATGTTAAAATCTATACAGCTTGTCTTTTATAGTTTCTTACTTAGCTTTTAGGCTAAGAAAAAAAAAATGTGTCTGACCTTACAATTTCTTTTAACTAGATCTTTTTCTATTCATTTTACATGTAACATTTTAAAGTTTCACCTATGTTCC